TCCTGGGAGACACTCTGCTTCCTCTACTGGGAGACACTCTGCTTCCTCTCCTGGGAGACACTCTGTACTCACGTCCTCTGGGTCCAGTTGTTTGTCTGGTCCTCTGTCCTGGGTGGACCATGTGACAGAGGGATGTGCTCTGATGGGAAACTGTGTCTCCCCCCCCCCCCCCCTCTGGGTACACGGAGAATCCTCCCTAAAAGTCCTCCTACCAAAGCAGGAGTTATAAAACAGCAGACATAGCAGAATTTAAGTGACTGTGATGAACTTCTAACTGGTCCTGAACCAGTCTCAGTGTAGTCCTGATCCTCTATATGAACCAGTCTCAGTGTAGTCCTGATCCTCTATCAGACCTCCATCAGTAAAGAGACCATCAGAGAGAAGATGGTCTGTTTCTATAGAGTTATTCTTAACGCTCATCATCGGAGCCACCGGGTCGCATTCTGGTGAAACCAGATGAACTCATGCAGGTTCACCAGAAACTCCTTCAGCTCAGACTCCAGCAGAGACTGGTCCACCGTGGACAGACCCAGATCCTCCAGCAGAGACCGGTCCACCGCGGACGGACCCAGATCCTCCAGCAGAGACCGGTCCACCGCGGACAGACCCAGATCCTCCAGCAGAGACCGGTCCACCGCGGACAGACCCAGATCCTCCAGCAGAGACCGGTCCACCGCGGACAGACCCAGATCCTCCAGCAGAGACTGGTCCACCACGCTGCTGGAGACCCAGGACGTATTGTTGGACCCGCTGGAGGGAAGGGAGGCACGGGAGAACCAGAACCAGGACTGAGAGGAGCAGACTGTCAGACCCTGCTGCTGTAACATGAGAGGTTTTCTAAAGGGACTCTGGTGCTCAGAGACACTACCACTTTAGTCCACAGGGGGCGACAGAATCAACACAAAATGAAACATTTTCTGTAGTATATTTTTAATTGAATAATGAACTTTATTACCCAGGATGCTCTATGGTGAAGCCTTTGAGCACATTTATAAATTGTTGAGTCCAAACGTCTTCACTGAATATAAAGTTCTTACGGTTCGATAAACAATCCAACTAAAAGTTGTTTAAACTTCTCCGACTCCGTTCTAATCTCTCTCTTCTTTTATATTTAATGTTTTGCTTTATTCTTGACGTACATAGTATATATATAGGATATATATATACTATATATATACTATATATAGTATAGAGATGTTTATACTATATATAGTATATATACTATACATAGTGTATATATACTATATATATACACTATGTATAGTATATACAGTATATACTATATATAGTATATATATACTATATATATACTATATATAGTACATATATACTATATATTATATAGTGTATATATATACTATATATAGTACAGCGTCTCTAACAAGCAGAATGAA